TTTCATGAAATTTGACTTTATTAAGGATTATATGAAATTGCAGTTAGATACATTGTAAATTTAAATGTGATAAATCTCTATATTTGCTAAAGATAAATTATCAGTATTAAATTTCATGAAAATTGACTTCTTTTTTAACAGATTACTAGTATTAACTTTTATGAAATTTGACTTTCTTAAGGATTGTACAAATTTGCATTCAGATACATTGTAAATTTAGATGTCATAAATTCCTATATTTATTAAAGATAAATTATCAGTATTAACTTTCATAAAAATAATTGTATCATTTTAAACAAAAATCTAATATTGTTATAATCTTAGATTTACATTCTTGTAGAAAAACACTCATAAATAATAATTACAGATAATTAAATATAGTAATGTTAATAAAATTAAACGCCATAAAATTGTAAAATTTAAAAAGATAAAATTAAATTTTAATTAATAATAACTAAATATGACAATATTGAGATCAGAGCATATTATATGATGTAAGATTGATCTTGTAAAATTAAGGATGTTCTTTTGACACGTTTTACAAAAGTTAAAAATTAAAAAAAAAAAAAATTGAAAAAACTTATATTATTATATATACACAGCACGCAGTACGCACGGATATGTATGATATTTAAATATTATATATATATATACATATATATATATATATATATATATATATATATATATATATAAAATCGGAGGTAATGAAAAATATATCTAAATCTAAAAACATAATAAGTGTCAATACAAGTTATGTCCTTGATTTTTGTCCATTTTTTATATGCTAATAAATATATACATTTTGCTTTAATTGTTGTACATTCATTTGCATTGGACAAAATCACCCTTACACCGTTATAACACCGTTAATTTATATATCTACCAATCTTACCATACACCTACATCTATCATATCTTTTTCCTATTTTTAATTATCATTTTATTAAAATTATCATATAACAATTAATTTAATTATAAATTATATTTTAATTAAATATTTATATGAATGTTAAATTATATATGTGTATCGTGTATATATATATATATATATATATATATATATATATATATATATATAATATGTATGTATATTATTTGTGTATCCATATCAATATATCATATATGTGGGTGTTAGCTTAGAATTATTTGTAAATTATTATTATATAAAAATATAATTATTTTTTTTTTGTTTTGATCACTATATTATTTAAATATATGATAATTCAAAAGTATCATCACTTGAAATTCCAAAACATAATTTTAACTAATTTTTTAAATTTCGTTACTTACAAATATTTTAATATTGGACATAAGTTTTCGCGAATCGTGTATATATATATATATATATATATATATATATATATATATATATATATATATATATATATATATGAATCTGAGAGAAGTAATCTCAATCTGGATTAATGAATAAACCATACTAGTGTGAAATAGCCAAATAGGAGATTTTTCCGAAATTTCAAGATTTCTATATATATAAAGATTCAAGAAATCTATGAAGAAACACATCAGCCCAGCAATGGAGGTAGAACAGTCTCCAGAGCATTGCATATATATACAGTGATACAGATCTCTCTAATGGAGAAGATGAATTTGGTTCGTTTATGAAAGCAGATAATTTTTGGTGAGCTTTTGTAACCATACACGCCTCTTTTTCTTGTTTTTTCTGCAACAAAATCCTATCTTTTTTGCTTTTATAGCTTCTGTTTCTCCGGGTTTTGAGTGGTTTCTTTTCTCCGCTCCCCACCCTTCGGCCTCCGGGGGTCCCTCTCCCACCGCCCAACGCCTCCCGTCTCCCCAACGCCCAACGGTACGCACTCAACCCACCCGCCTATAAAAGGGTTACTATCTCCTTCGTTTTAGCCAGATCAATTGGTTTGTTTTCACAGATCCAAATGGGGAGCGATATTCGGGCTGGGTAGTTTCTTCTTCTTTCTTGTTTTTTGTTTTTGGTTTTCTCTGACAGTGGTTTATATGAATCTATTCCGTGCAGTTAAACTCTGAAAGCACTTGTTCTGCATTTCTTGGGATGAACTAAAATGGCTGGAATTGCTGGGTATTTTTACTAATCGAACTGAGTTGCCTTAAAGATTTTGCGGTTTCTTGGTACAGTATTACTGATTACTGAATACTATATCTTTTGCCTTTTTTCCCCATTTTTGTTGCACGGTTGAGCTTAATGTTTCTGCTTTGCTTGATTTTTGGCTTGGATTCGATTTGCTCTCTTCTGGGTATTTCTGATCCATGGTTAACGCTATACTTTGGTGGCGCAGTTTGTTTAAATAAATGTTTGTGCTTTTGTTCTTCCCATTTTAATTTGTGGGTTGATTTAACTTTCTCTCTTATTTGCTTGTGTAAAGATGGAGACTTTTCATGTCTTTCCTGGCTATTTTCTTGATTCATTCACATTTCATCGTTTTTGTGCCCAAGTTCCATAGATGTTCTGAGTTCTTTTTCCACAAAATTGTGTGTTTTTTTGCCTATCTAGGCATGAATTGATTCTGTATGTTTATCAAAGATAGTGAAGAGGTGATAAGATTAAAGATAAGATGAATAGTTTCTGAATTGAATTTAGAGTAGCTTTTGTTGGGCAGATAGAAGGGGAAAAATATGAAGCTCTCCTATAATCCCTTTATACCAACGTGTATGGTCTACATTTCTTTGTTGCTTAACTCACCTTTAGTTTTTTCTTGTTCTTCATTTCATGGTTTGAATCGAGCACATTTAGTGAAATCCTGTGTTCTTGTTCTGAATGTTTCTCTCTCGCTATTGAGGCAGAGAGTTAGAAGCTAAAATGGAGGATGGTGGCAATGATCGGTGCTGGGATGAGTTAATACCGGATGCTCTTGGGTTGATCTTCAAGAATCTGCCGCTTCAGGATGTGCTTACTGTCATCCCGAGGGTTTGCAAGTCGTGGCAAAGAGCCGTGCTGGGGCCTTATTGTTGGCAAGAGATAGACATTGAGGAATGGAGCATGAGCTCCCGCTTTGGAACTGTGGACCGCTTGCTTCAGTTGCTGATTACGAGGTCTCAGGGTTCAATCCGTAAGCTCGCGGTTTCTGGTGTCTCTAGTAAAGAAACCTTTGAATTAATCGCGGACAAGTGAGTAGTATACTTATGATGTCTTCATGTTCTTTTGTTTTTTTTTAACAAAGTATTATTACCAATGTTGAAAAAATCGCTAGGCGCCCTCCCGGCGCCTGGGGACCGCCTAGGCAGGTGCCTAGAACGCCTAGGTGCGGTTTTTGCAACACTGATTATTACCGAAGACTATTATAATTGATTAATTCCTATATTTGGTTGCTAGTGCCAAATATCTGCAGGCATTGCACCTGACGAGGTGTGAAATCAGCGATCCCGTCGTGGAACAGTTAGCCGGGAAGTTCAGTAACGTTACGTTCTTGGATATAAGCTACTGCATCGATATGGGGGTGGGAGCGATCGAAGCGTTCGGGAAGCATTGCAAGAATCTCACTTTCCTCCGCCGAACAATGCACCCCCTAGAGGTCATCGACAAGGGCGACCAGGACGACGAAGCGTACGCGATTGCCGCCACGATGCCGAAGCTCAAGCAGCTCGAGATTGGGTACATGCTCGTCACTTCAGAAAGCGTGAACGAGATAGTCAAGAGTTGCACCGAGCTCGAAGTACTGGACATTCGGGGATGCTGGGGAGTTAGCATCGACGAGAGCGTGAAGAAGAATTCGGGATTGAAGGTCGTTGGACCGGTCGTTTTCGACCGCTATGATCCGCAAGCATGGGAAAATTGCTCTGATAATTCCGGGTCGTCTGGGTACCTGCCGTGGGACTTCGTTGCCGGGGATTTGGATGACGAGTATGATATATCGGATGGGGTGTGGGAGGATGAAGAAGGTGTTGAGGATGTGCAAATGTGGTTTTATGATGGGCTGAATACCATCAATAGTGGATATGATTGGCCCCAATCTCCTTGAAAGCTTGCTGGAGAAGCTTCTTATTTCATATTCATAAAGCTCCTATCTTTCTATTATAGTATATCCCCTATCAAACTTGTCTGCTGCATTTGATATATAATATAGGTGTTTATTATAGTGTCTGTTTAAGTAAGTGTTTCAACCATTTGTGCTTGGAATGGTTGTACTTTGCAAATGATATAATAATAAATAAATATAATGCAGTTTGTTGATTGAGTCATTGCTGCCCCTTTATTAATCTGCTTTTCTTGATCTTTCTTGGGTTAGAAATGGGAAACTTTTTATTTTCTCCCAAAAGTATGAATCCCCAACCCAAGCCCCACATCCCGGTCTGACAAAGCATTTGAGAGGATATAAATCACTGTGACTCAATAGCTCAACAGACAAGATCAAATGTCGGTGTGCACAAGGGATCTGTCCATTTTAGAATCTTGGTCTCTTATCTTGGTTTCTGGCCATTTTAGAATCTTGGTCTCTTATCTTGGTTTGTTCTCCCAAATACTGTCCACTCAATCACCATTTTAGAATCTTGGTCTCTTATCTTGGTTTCTGGCCATTTTAGAATCTTGGTCTCTTATCTTGGTTTGTTCTTCCAAATACTGTCCACTCAATCATTGAGCTAAGTCCGTGCGAGGAACTATTAAGGAAAAATAATTATTGGAAAATATGGTCCACAGCCCACAATAAACAAGCCCCACTTCACTCCAACACAAAGGTAAAGGCAGAGAACTTTAATGTTGGGTTAATGCAGTGAGATCTCAAGACAGAAATGCTCTCCCCACTACTACTTCAAGAATGAGGAAACCCAAGGAAAAAGGATAGGAGACAAAGTAGAAGAGTGAACTGAAAGATGGAATCCCCAAAAGGTCCCATATTTCATCATTTATATATTTATTTATAGTGTGCATTGACTCTTCAAAAAAAACCAAAAAAAAAAAAAAAGTGTTTGTTAAGCTTTTCTTCAACAACCCAATAATCCCACCAAGTCCTAAACTTTCCAAGATTTCCCTGTGCCACTTTTTAAAGCTCCCAAACCCTTTCTTTCTTTCTAACTGTAAGCTATGGTTGGATAGAGTCTGAAATTGAGCTTTGCTGTAAAAACTTTTTATGCTTTGGTCAACTCAGATAATACAGAAGCTAATGTTACCCTAGGGGGTAGGGTAGATTTTATGAAAAGTCAAGAATTCCTACCAAGGACGCTGGATGAGGTAAATCGCGAGTTGCCCAATCAGTCTTCAGTTTCCACTTCTGTCTGTACACTTTGCAAACAAGAAGCGCTGAAACAAGACTTTCAAGATGACCATTGAACCATTGAGCTAAACCCTTCAGTTTCCACCTCTGTCTGTACACTCTGCAAACAAGAAGCGCTGAAACAAGACTTTCAAGATGACCATTGAACCATTGAGCTAAGCCCTTCAGTTTCCACCTCTGTCTATACACTCTGCAAACGAGAAGCGCTGAAACAAGAAGTTCAAAATGACGATTGAATCATTGAGCTAAGCCCCGCAGGCAGATGCTGGGCATTTGGCAATGCCATTTGAAAAAGTGGATGAGAAAAGATTCCATCTTATTGACTATGTGTGGAAGAAGACATTATCATAAGTCCATCACCCCTGACTGAATGATTTGGTTGTTTGCACTTTGGTTTTATATAGTGAAGATGCCTTTTGGGTAAAACTCCACACACATCAAAATATTGAAGGGAATATTTACTCACTAGTAATGAAATGAGACCTGTCTTTCATCACGTGCGCTGTGTGTGCACCTTCAGTGTAGAATATTTAGGAAGACACTATTCAATCTTTCCCACTGCCAAATATGAAGAAAAAAAAAAAAAAAGTCATGAAATATCACTTTCAGACCAGGAGAAGCCTTTATTCTGTACTATAGAACACCTTCCAAAGCTGAAACTTTGTGCTCAAATTGAAAGGTTGCAGGATTAGTTGAACTAACACTGCAACACAAAGCTGAAAAGGCTTATAGTAGACAAAACATATGGATGGGGAAGAACAGAAACTCCAACAAAGCTAATAATATAAAAGACCCACATATTCACCTTGCCCCAGAAAGGTTAGGGCACACCTCGGTCTGACACAGCATTTGAGAGGATGTAAATCAGGGTGGCTCAGCAGACAGGACCAGAATGCCGGTGCACACAAGAGATCTGTTTACTTTGGGCATAATCCCGACTTTGATTATGAATTGGTATCTTGAGTATTAAATTATGGCCTGAACTGAAGTCTTCAGAATTGAAGCAATTTAATGAAGTACCAAATAGAGCAATGGTAGCCTTTATAAGTAGTAGATCAGATGAGTTGTGTCATGCAACTTGAATTGGAAACTTCAGTTTAATATAATTTATTGTATATACATTTTTGGTGCCATCTACATTAATTAAAGACTAGGCAGAAGCCAGTTAAGAACTCACAAGTGAACTGTACTGCTATACACTGAGCACACTGCAGTAAAAGTAACCAATGTTTTGCAAGTCATTTGAGGTAGTAAAGGCAAAATGTAATCTTTTGGTTCAAGAATCCTTTATCATTTGCTATTGGTGTCAATTGTCACTTTAAAAGTTTTTCACTTTTCAATTAGGTAGCGCTTAAATGAAAAACAAGAAAATGTACGAAATGGAACATCGGTATTTCCGACCACCACAGTTTTGCATTCATTCATCTTTTATTTTGGGTCATTTTCTTCTTTAACTTCAAGAGCAGGTTGTAAAGAATCAGAATGATCAACAATATTACTGGCATAGTATAAAAAGAATAGAATAGCATAAAACAATATTTTTCAACTAGACAACTACATATATTACTTCATCAGAAGTTACAGCTATGGAGTATAACAGTCTGTACAAAACGCGAATCCAACCCGATCCACCGCGAGTTTACTTTTTAAAGTCCATCCCGACCCACCATCCACTATCACCCAAAAAAAATCCGATCCGTCCGGGGTGAATTCGGGTAGATATTGGCAGGGTGGATTGAAATTGACATCCCTAATTTCAAGTTACTCCTTGCATAAACTCAATTTCTCTTTATGAAAATAGGAAAAATTGAGGAATTTTGATTATTTATGTGCTTGAAGAACTTGGAATTTATGCATCACGACAGTGAAACAATTCCCTATTCTAGTCATTGTTTATTGATCATAAGAGTAACTTATAGATTAATATTCCTACATGCATGAGTGCATCCCCCATATTTCCCCTTTTTAGTGTTATCCCTTAATTTATGTGTGTGTATTCTATCTTGTTTAGTTATAGGTATATTTGATTCAAGTTTTTGGCAATTGTTTTGCTTTTTGCATATTTTTTCACCCTATACATTAATGCACTCACCCAACGTCGTTTTAAACCAAAGTCCACTGATATAATTTGCTCCCAACGGATCATCCATTCATCCCAAAGGGGTTCTATTGCAAATCTTTAAGTTAATTATATTATAAAGTTGGTAAGAAATAGTTAAGGCAAACTAGAAACCAGACAGGAAAAAAAAAAGGTACAAAAACCACAACTTGGCTGATAAATCAAGAATTGCCATTAACTAAACCATCAGACTAACAAAATAAGGACACTTCACCAATGAGATGCCTTTGTCCTCCCTATACATTTAAGTTTATGGTGGGTTTCTGAAACATTTAACTCTAGAGAATACAACACAAGAGAAATACAGCCTAAAAAAGGAATGGAAATAAATTCTCTGCAAGACATAAACAAGAACCATATTTGTGCATATATCCAAAACTACATCCATCGCTTTTTCACGTGAGACATCAAGAAGCGGGCATGTTCAACTTTTGTACGCTCTCATCTTTCCCTCTTCGCCATGGACCGAAAATCTTGCGGGAATGTTAATCTGACAAGGGATGCAAAACCTCACAAATTGGTCACTCTCAATATATCAAAGTGCAGCTGTTCGAATGAACATACAAGGGATTATGCGGCTTTCATCTTTAACCAAACCAAACCATTCTGGTTGTAGTCTCCGCCTCCTAGAATCTAGACCTGCTCATTCATTGCTTCTTTGTGTCCAGTCAAAGTTTGCATTTTTTGATTCAGTCTCATCTTTGGTGATCCATCAACAGCTGAATTCGTAGTATTAGGTGCATTTTGATTCTCACTATGATCTTGACTGGGTCCTTGCTTGTTATCCCATAACTTGCTAGTTTTCCCAATCGCAAGAATCAATTCAAGTTGTTTCTGTTGTTGATCCTACGGACAAATTCAAGGACGCAATGGAAAGTCAGTTAATCATGCTGAAGAGTATTAGCTGCTTAGACATCCATTTTGAGCTCACAAAGGCAGCAAATAAAACACAATAGCTAACCATAATATAGACAAGATCGATAACACCAAAATGGATACACTCATGTTTGCTGACAAGATCCAATCCAACAATAGTTAACTTGACAAAGGGAAATTAAAACAATAATGCTTTTTAATATCAAGAAACAGAGGTATGTCTAATCTTATCACTACTTCACTGGACTAGACGATGGAAAAACTATTATTTACATAATTGAACTATTAAAAACAACTGCCGTTAAGACCTGTGGTGAAGAAAAGGTTATCTAATTCACAAACACTTTTGTTATTAAAGCTTATAGTGGGAGCCAAGGACCTTGTGGTCTAGTGGCACCAAGTTGCTCTCCCATATTGGAGGTTGTGGGTTCGACTCTTTGTGCTTCAGTAGGTTGAGAAAGTAGTTGTGAACAGATATTGCATTGTAACAAAGTCAATAGTACTCCAAAAAAATAGCTCATAGTGGGAGAAATGAGGAAATGAGATGCAAAAACACTACATATTTCCTGGTTTTGGTTTTCGATGTGTGACAAAGGACGAGGGAGTTGAACAAGGCATGAGACCTAACAATATTCGATTCCAAGGCATTTACATATAACTATATAAGTAGTAGTGATCTGTGGAGAGCTCAAATAAGCAAAAGAAACGCGGGAAATGGGCGGGGGGAATCTACCTGCATTGCCAGTAAGACCTTTTGTATTTCACCAAGCTCCTTCTCCAGAACCTCCCCTTGCACTGCCAATGCTCGGGTGGCCTCGGAGTTCTTCTGGGCCAATGCTGCAGTCTGCACACCACACACAATAAATTGATGAGAAAATTAGCATTACATTGATGAATATGCATCATGGTTCCTACATAGAAGAACTAAGAAGTAAGAACAATTACCTCTGTTATAGGATCCTTTAAATTCCTCCTTGTAACGCGAAAACGGGTGCCCAGCTTCTCGAGCTGCCTTGATAGGACCCGAATTATGGTAGTGGAGCTCCGCATATCTTCTTCCAGCTTCTCAATCCTCTCTACCAAATTAACCCCCGCCGTGGAACCCTGACCACCACCGCCGGGCCTCGAAAACTCAGCATTACAAATCCTCCGCCACTGCCGCCTTCTAATCACAGCTCCGATCGCCATTCCGCCCACCAACACCACACACTGTCCCACCAGAACCCGGTTCCCGAACCGCCCGAAAAGCCACGAATTCACCGCAAGCGCAATTGACACAGCAGCAGAAGAGGCCAAGCATATGAACTCGAGAACCGATAAGAAAGCGTCGAAATTGAATTCGTAGTTCGAAGGCCTTGCAGTCGTCGCGTCCGATTCGAAGGCCTTGACGGCGTACCATCGGCGGGTCCCCGGAAAATCCCAATTGAGAAAATGGATTCCAAGCTGCAGGGGGTTTGCTGCAAAGGGTTTCGGGGCAAGAGAGATGACGTCTCTGGGTCTCTTCAAACGAGCTTGCTCATAGTAGCGGAAGCTTCCGATCCGACAGTGAGAGTGGGGCGCTGTAAGGGACGCGACTGACATCGTTGTTGCAGGAACAATAAGGGAGGACGATAATGGCGCTATAGCCTATAGAATTCGAGGTTTGATGGGTCGGGTTATCGGAAACATGATCCGATTCGGGATTTCGGAGGTATCAAGAACTGGAGTGGATGAGCAACTAAGCAGACGGAGTAGACGATGGCTTCAACTATTTGCGCTTTGGTAGGTAGGAGTACATTAGCAATCCGCGCAAATTAGCTTTTCTTGCACAAAAGACCTTAAAATGCACATGGAATTGTGTTTTTTAATTTCCTGCTAATCCTTTGCATAAAACTATTGATATGTTTAATGGTCTATGATCAAGTTTGAACCCAATTATTTTGGAAGATCTTGTGCACAAAGTGTACAAACAAGGGATAAAAATAAGATAAATTGACAGGGAAACTCACTAACGAGGATAACCCACAATTTATCTCCTTTGACGGCGGGGATTCTGAGGACTTAAAATTAGTCTGGCATGAGCTAAGAAACCTAATGTATTAAAAAAATAAAAATTATCGCATTTTATATAGTTCTTATTTGGTAATTTAAGGTGCAAATGTATGTGCCAGTAACCATGAAATAAGGTTATAAAACCAGAAAGCATAATGTTCACATTAACAGTCAGTCGAATACTAGAATAGACATCTGTCTCAAACATCCACTATCAACAACATAAGAGGAGGATAAGGATTCTGCAGCACTACCACCTGCAATGCTAAGAAAAAAGGCTAGAAAACTAAAGGTGTTTCCAAGGGGTATATGGGGTAATATCGAAACGACAAATCCGCGGTTATTTATCCTTTAACACTCTGCTTCATCACACTTAATAGGAGTTGCACTTTAATAATAAGGCATGTATCGAGTTGATCGCCTGAACCTTGGGACCTTCCTGCATTGTGCACAAAAATAAGAGAGGCTTCTTTCATATCCTGGATTCATACGAGTAATTGGAATAGAGAAATGAAGAGAGAACTCACCCGTATCCATAGGGAGAATAGAAGTACGGGGGCACATAAGGCCTCCTAAAACCATATGATAAGTAAGGGTTGAAACGCCTTGGACGAAATTGCTTCATTCCAGGAACATTTGTCCTCTTGGGCATAACCTGCAAAAGTTTATCAAGCAAATGGCAGCAAATCAAAAAATTAAAGCATTTAGAGGTACATTTGCAGTGCACAAGCAATGTTTGGCACGGTAACTTGGATTTTGGAGAGAATGGGAACTAAAGTATTCCTCTGTAAAAATTTCTCCTAAATCCCCTTTCAAGATTTATTTATATCTCAATAGGGAGAAGGAAAGGGGATGGTGTGTTTACCTTCAACTGGCGCCCATGCAGTTCAGATTCGCTCAGCTTGAGTGCCTCCTGAATGGCTTCTTGTTCAAGGAATTCCACATATGCAAAGCCCTTTGGCTGTCCAAACTTGTCGGTCAGAATAGTAACTCGGTTCACTGTACCACATGCTTGGAAATGTTGCTGAACTTCCTCAGGGGTACATGCATAGTCAACCTGAAAGATAAAATTGAGTGAAACACAAGCAAATGAAGAAGCACTCTAGACATAAGAAATGATCGTGATGCAATGATGGAACCAAAAACTGAATTTCCCAAGAGAATAAAATTTTAGGATGGCAAAGTCTTCATTAAAGTAGAAAACAAAAAGATGACATGTATATAATTTCACTGTATGTTAATTAATGCTGTAGTAATACCAGAGGCAGTCCTCCAGACTCCAGAGACTCACACATCAAAAGTTCAGCAGTTTCCAGAACAAAGCAAGAAGAGCTAAACACTCTATAAGCTCTCAGTCATCTTATATTAATTCATTAACTAATATTATATAGTTTTGTATACAATTATAGTCATGTACAATTTCCAGTGTTCCAAATAAAAGTCATGTACAATTTGTCTCTCCTAAAAAAACCATTGTCAAAAATAAATGGATAAATTACAGTGAAGCAGACCACATATGCAATAGGACTAGACCACATAAAGCAACGTTTTTAACATATCTTGAATGGTTTCCCATCAGGGCTTTCAGCAACACAGGACAAATACAACAAGGCCAAAAGGCAAGTAGCAACACCTCACCATCAGGTTTAACAGCTAGTCAATCTGAATACTGACGTCGACCGCTGCCAGCAGCAACAGACTCGCAACTAGCATTGGCATGTAATAGACTAGGCGTTTACAATTTAATGATAAGTATTTGTCTTCTTGCATATAGCAGAAAACTTGAATGTCTAAAATCAGACCAACATTACATTCAAAACTCAAAGTGATAATTGGCAAATGGCAATTGAAGTTCACATACTCTTCCCTAAGGAGAGAGGTTTCAGATTCTTTCAGTGGATGTCCCCAATTATTGCTTCTCTTCTTTTTCTTTTTCTTTGTTCTTTTTTTTTCCTTTTTTAAAATTCTTTTCTCATCTTTTCATTTCAAATTTTCTTTCAACTCTTTTTTTTTCATGGGCTTTTTTAACCAATGGGGACTTCATGATAATTTTTCTCATTTTTTGTGATCTCATTTTTTCCCATCATTTTCATTCCTTTTTTCCCAGGATTAAATATTTTATCAGGACAAACATACAGTTACAAACATTATACTGAAAGCAAGCCTATCTAAAACCATAATCTATCTTCCACCATCAAAACATTGGGTAACAATGCCCATGCTACTCAGTAACAAACCCTGCGATCATAGTGAGAAAAAGTCAAATTGTAACTCTCAAGAAGAAAAGTCAAAATCGAGAGGAAGTCAGTGTTAGAAAGGAGAATAAAGTTTTGTAAATAACCCAACAAATAAAATAAAGAATAGAAAAAGAAATATGATTATGAAAGTTACGGGCAACAAGAAGGTTGGTTTCACCTTTCCTGAAGGGTAAGTGTAAATGGGTTTTAAGTGTATGCAATTCACTTAGCCTCTTGCAAAGATAGAAATCCCGGTAAAAACTGTGTTGCAACATGATTAAATAAAGCAAAACAAAACAAAAACAAAAAACATAACATAACATCCATTCTCCTGGAACTATAATTCATGGACACAGATTCAGTCTCTAGTATTCATATAATCCACTAACCAGCTTTACATAGTCCTTATTGTCATATGAAACCTATAGTGAAATTCAACTATGTGATGTGAGATTTTTTTATTTCGTATTTAACACCGACTTTAAATGTTTTGAAAAAACATACAATGTTAAACAGACAGTGAGTATAAAAAAAAAAAAAAAAAAAAAAAAAAAAAAAAAAAAAAAAACAGAAATTCAGAATAAACTCCAATAGAGCATTACACAAACAAGTAACAACTACTATCAAGTGTAGAAATTTGTGTATAGCTACTACCCACACAATAAATTATAAACCAAAAGGAGTAATATGAAGTGAAATATTTTAAGTAGAGCAACTAGTCAGACAAGAAATTATAAAGCAAAAGAATAGCATCCTGGTTCTCACATTGCCGACAAAGATTGATCGTGAATCAACTTCCTCCCTGCTTGCCTGAGAAGCAGCATCACTGGCAGGATCTGCCCAAAATAAAGGGAAAAAAAATTGTACACCATAGTGATCTAATATTCTAATCATACACAATAAATAATAAAAGCTCAATGAATAGTATTGAACAGAAAGTAGGAAGCATCTAGTTCTAAAGCAGTTATTATCCTAGCAATTAAGCACTCATGCATACGGGAATTGTAATTTTGTATAACAAGGTAAAATTTATACCCAAAGTTAGCATAGTAAAAAAAGATAGCAATTTCTCCTTTTTCCATAATCAGGTATATCATTTATCTGAATTTTTGCAATGAATTTGTTCTAGAAGTGCTATATTATTTCATTCCCTATGCACTGAGAAAGAAAACTGCAGCAACTCACAAGTCACAACATAGTATCCCCTAGTGGAAAAACAGAATTCTTCCAAAAAGCAAAAAAATTTATATGTTCAGAGAAGAGCAAAGAGGTAAAAGAATCCTCAAGGATCATAAATCACTAGTAAAATCCAAGGTAAGTAAAATCAAATCTTTCAAACATTAACTATCATTTCAATAATTTATTAGATAATTCAAACTATTCAATTTAATCTAAGTTTCACAACATCTTTAAAAAAAAAAAAAAAAAAAAAAAAAAAAAAAAAATTGCAGGCAGCTCATGTCCCCAATCACATTTTTCACCAGGTACTATTTAAACCCGATTAATTTCATGACAAGAAAATTAACTAACCAACAAGAGACCAATAATTTTGTTCACAGCTATAGCATATGGAATGCAACTCCGAACCCTAAGAAAGATATTTAAAAAATCAAAAAATAAATAAATAAAGGAAGACCTGTTTCACCTTGAACAGCGCCCATCTCCTTCTCAACTTTGGCTTGCATCTCTCTAAGCGCAGCCGCTTCTTCTTCCATTTCCTTCAGTCGCTTCTTCATCTCATCCAACTCCTGCGATTCCCATCCCATCAAGAATGCTATCCACAAATTCAAACAGGAAAAAAAAAAAAAAAAAAACGAAGAAACTGAAATAGATCATCAAAGCTATATGAGATGACCTTAACGGCGTCGTCGTCGGCGGTGGACATGTCAACATCGGCGCCGTGAGGCTCCATGTCTCCGTCCAATTCACCTTCGATGGGGATTTCTCCTCCGTACACCTCATGCTCCTCCTCCTCCATATCTCCCCCCCTCCACACTCACCTGACACTTCTTCTTCGCTATCGCCTATCGACTCGATTTCTAAAGGAAATACTACGTGTACCGCACTGAGCCAGCGGATTACGACAGCAAAAACGCCGTTTACAATTCGGGTATACTTCCCGTTTCTCTACAAAAGTGAATTGAAAAAAATGCCCTGATTATGATCCTCCAATTTTATTTCAAGTGTCGAATTGATCCCAAATGTTAACAATGACCTTTATTCTTCTCCCAACAATGACCTTTATTTATATTATTAAATGAGTAGTTCTACTACATGTATTCTCAAATTTTATTTTCTCACTTTCATTTCATGGCATGACAAATAAAGATTGGTTATTTTCATCATGTGAGTCTCAAAAAATGTGTCTACATCAAGAATTTGTAAAAGAGAGTACGAGTCGGAAGTAAAAAAATGAAAGTGCATATAGTATTTTCCTATTATAACAGAGTACTAAAAAAAATTGAACTTTCTATTTCTTAATATTTTTTTTAAGCTGCTGACTTTATTACATT